GTATAAGTATACCTATCAGCATTCTACATGTGTGAATGCAAGCTGCTGCGTCTTAAAAACATCACGCAGCACCATTGCATATTTATCGCACAGTCCAAGAAAGATTTTTGGCGTACAAACGCCAAAACCGATTACGCGCACGAAATGTATAATTTTTTCCTGCAATTGTATATACGAGATATACCGGCCATTCTATTTCTGTCTCCGGCACTTGCGATTCAAGTCCGAAATTTATTTTAGTCTTAGTGCTTAATATCGCAGTTGATACTGTGAATACAAAGAGTCCCTTAATCGTACAATGAGCCATATTGTATTGTAAATCTCAAGTACAAAAAACAAGAAATAAAATGTCATATAAACGTAGACTTCTAGATATCAATCCACACAATAAACAAGGACAAGACAAAGATAAAATAAATGAAGCTAATCGTTAATTCTTTGTTCATCTAATTATTTAAAAAATAAGAATAAAGTTTAAAATGAAAAAATATATAACACGTATGGATTACCTAGGCGTTATTTACCGTTGTGTAACAAATCGAGAAAACGATTTTCCAAATATCTGAAAATATGAACGGAAGCACCTTGATACTTGAAATTTGACGCACTTTGTTCATAAATAGAACAAACGGATTAAATTAAATTTCATGTACATGTGAATCAGCAAGTTGATGCTTATCGTAGAACCGTGAACGTAAAATTGCGTGTTTCGCAAGGGAAAACGAGCGCAGTTACTGCATTTTTTTTCTTATAGGAAGGACGTATTAAATTATTCTCTGGTGTTGCTGGTGCAGCAGAGTATCAAAGTTCTCAAGATACGATCCGATATCGTGATCTTAAATATCTCTTCTGATTTACTTCCTGCACCTTTCGCCTCTACGTATACCACGGTTAAGTGCGACTGAACGTAATATAGAAAAACCAATCAGCCTATATATCGCCAGCGCTATTCAATACCATTTACGGATCAACCGGTTCAAGTTTAAGCAACAGCAATTTGAATAACGACGCGGTAATAAATCGACCTACTTGTAAGAATGCATTAGCTGCGGTAAAATTACGTAATACGAACTTCAAAGGTACAGAACTTGCTTAGTCGATGCAAAGCGAGATTAATGTATTCATTTGTCTTTGCTTGACTTTATGTTAGCAGAGATTGCGTAAATAAAATATTACAACGTTAATTTGCTTGTAGACAAAGTGAACAGAAAAACGCTTACAATTCTGAAACTACTATACTTTAGCGTTACATAAATTTTCAAAATAATTTACTTAAAATAGTCTAATTATCTTCATCTTCTCTAGCAGTACAATTACATTTACGGATGGATATAACAGATATGTATTTTTGGGTTGATACAAAATACAGAAGAAATATATTGAGTGAGAGAGAGAGAGAGAGAGAGAGAGAAAGAAAGGTGCTGTAATCAGGAAAATTATGAGACAATCAATGAAAATATATCAAATATAAAATACTACAAACAATCGCAAATTTCTTACGCGACTGAATGGCAAGTAACTCTAATGGCTGAGCCATTATTTCTATATATATGTATATATGTATATATGAGAAAACATATGTATAATACAATATATCTCATTTCATAACAAAATATTGTTAAATATGAAGAAATTAGTTTAACAAGAAAGAAAGATAAATCAGAGAGAAATGGAGCGCGCTCGCTTATCAAATGCATCCTCAAAGGCGCGTATATATATGCATGAGGTTTCGATTTCTGCGGATTTTCACTCTCGATCGGAAAGTGTCGCTACCACAAGAGGAGTAAAAGTCACGGGGACCCCGCTGTAAAAACAGGTGTGGAGGCGCATACTATAGCTGGTCAAGCCGAGAAAGTCAAGAGCGCGAATGCGCCGCGCCGTGCCGGTGTGCTCCAAGAGGTATCTCTCGCGCAGCCTGTTAGCCTACTTACGCGCGCATTAGTGCGGCTCGAAAATTCGTGACGCGACCGGTCTCGCCGTGTTCGTCGCGATTCAATAATATTGACCGTCGTCGTACACCCCGATAGATCCCCCCCGCGTAAAAAAGGAGCACGACGAGACGTGTCCGTGTTACCTCTCGGCCGCCAGTCGGTTGCACTTGCAGCGACTCCGGTTTACCTAAGTCTTGCATAATGCGATCAGCCGCCCCCGGATCCGGATCGACGACGACAGCTCCGCCGGGATTTGCGAGCGATCATCGACGGCGAAATTTCGAAGCCCCGATTCCTCCGCTGCGCTTTCGATCCGAGAAAGTCGCGATTTCGCACGTACGCCACGGCTCGAAAATCGCAACTGTGATTTCTCGAGAATACACCGAAGCGATTGGCAACTGACGAACTGATTAACGGCAGGTTTTCTTACTTAGTTTAAGGGCTCGTCAGTTTTGCATCCCACATATGGGATATACCGCCTGTAGAAATGTAGCGAGAGAGTCGAAGATATTTGACGTGTAAATTAAATTTCGATATAGCCAGAATCGACAAGATTTTAAATAAGCAATAAATTAAAATAACGCAAAAACAAAATTTATTTGCAGATTCTAAAAAATATAAATATGACTAATAATGTTAGACTCGATTATTCTTTAAAATGAACCAGTTTAAGATTAATATTTATATCACTTTATAATATCTTGAAGTTTAGTATTCATTATTTCTCAACATTTCTTTTAAGCAAATAAATTTCTTTGTTACGTTATTTTAATTGATTGTTTATTTAAAATCTTGTCGATTCTGACTACATCGAAATTTAATTTACATGTCAAATATCTTCAACTGTCAAATAAATTTCGTTATTCTAATTTATTGCTCATTTAAAATCTTGTCGATTCTGATTGCATTAAATTAAATTTACATTTTACTTTAGAATTAAATTATTCTTTAGAATAATCGAGTATAACATTATTACTCACTCTAAATCGTTACTTTTCGAAAATTACATTTTATTTCTACGTTAAAGCAAAGTCTATGTAAAATCAATTAAAGAACCGAATTTTTTCTTATTTATTTGCCGCATTGAAATTAGCAAAGAGGAAATCTTCATCAACTTAAAAATTCATAGTTCAATATTGATCTGTAAAAATTTCGTTTGCAAATCGTTCTATGTGTGTGCAATAGGAATTAAGTTTTCCAAAAGAATTACGTTTATCTTTTATTTTACCAAATCTGGAATCGTTAATTTGCACACGTACAAAATACCTAAAATCTCTCGTAGAATTCATTCATTTCTCTATTAATTTAAAGCCGATTTCTTAAAGCATATATACACAGGCATAATAATGAGAAGGATAATAAAAAAGACTTGTGTAAACTCTTCCGGTTTACAGAAGAGAATCCAAGGAAGAGTTGAAAGCTTCCGCCTTTAAAAATGTCTTCGACGAAGGACGTCGAAATAAAAGGGGATACCCTCACATCGACGGCAGCCGCGGTATGTATTTGCTTTATTAATTTCTAGGACGTGTTTCTATCTGTATTTTTCAAATATTTCTAGTCGCGTTCTTTTTTGGTTCTTTTATTAGTTGCTTTTCATTTACGTCAAAACTCAGATAATTCTCACTTGTGATGCCATTCTGTCTTTATTATTCATTAATTCCCGAAAAGGATAGAACGACGTCACAAGTGAGAATTATCTGAGTTTTGATGTAAACAGAAAGCACCTATTATCTTTCTCGATTTCTCATAAATTTGAGATTTAAATGAATTTGACTAACATTAATAACTTATCACTAAATTAATGAGGTGTTTGATTGATTAGATATTAAATAAATATTAAATATATATTAAATTAATGTTAAAATAATATATACGAAATAGAGAGATATCATTAAATTAATAAGATTTATGGTTAAATAAACCATTATTTAACCAGAAATCTTATCGAATCTCCCACATTAGTTATACGCCTATTCGTGTCATAAAATTATTTTCAAAGTCATAATTTCTTATTGTTAGGGTAAGAACAACTTCAACCGTGAAATTTATAAAATTTGTCCTTTTTAGCGGGACGACTCCCTTTCTCTCACACATCTTTTTTTTTCTCCAAGGTCCCGATTATATGCCCGTCTCATTTCACGTGCAGAAAGTGCGACGCGGTGCAGCCACGAAGTACAAACCTGCAGATCGTCTGAAACTGGGCTCTAGCGCGTTCGAATTCTAACGCGCGCATGCGCACGGCCGACGCGTGCGACGCGCCTCGCTTTCCTGGTCAACGCAGCCTCTAAAAGCGCGCGGGAATGGGACCGTCGTGTCCGTCTTTCGTCTAAGATTCTCGATCTTTCGCGGAAACGTTGCGAAAAAAACGCGCGCCAATTGTCGCGGTCGTGCGAGCGCCTCGTTCCGACCTCGACTCCGAGCGCGTTCGCCGAAAAATCGTCGCTCGTTTGACACCACGGCACGTCGCGTGTCGCTAGCAGACGATCCATACGGCGTCTGCTGGGACCAGCTGACAGCCGTACGGCCGGAGCAGAAGCGTGCCGCGCTCTAAAATTCTAAAATATCCCCGAATTGTCGCGCGTGGACTTTACGCGCGAGCGATCGACACGATCCGCGACGCTTCGAACTTGCAAGCTTCACCTCGCGACATCCTCCCCTCGCGAAGATACGGGGAACCAGGTGTCCGTCGGTAGCTAGCACCTGACCCACATGTTATGTAATTTTTTCACCGCGACGACTTCTCACGGAGCGATCGTTTGAACGCGCCTGTCGAACTCGAGTCAAGCACCCCCGAAAAATCTCGAAACGGCTCGTCCGACTTGGCTGTCTCGATCAGCTGTCGGGCTCGAGTCATGTAGGCGGCGGCGGTCAGTCGATCAGGCGTCAACGCCGCGCCGGACGTAGGTTAGGTCGGCGGCGAGACGGTCGGCGGGAGAAGCGCGAAAATCGCGGAAACATGAATGGGACAGCGCGTTTTCTCGGGCGCGTCGTCGCCGACGGATCGCCGGGCGTCGGGACGGCGGGGCCGCGGGGACGCGAAGTTCGTCGCCTCCCCGGGCGATAACGTACCTGCTGGCAGGGCTGGAGGAGCGCGCCGCCCGTGGCCCGGGTGGTCGCCGGCCGCGATTTCACACATGCCGTGGTCGAAACTCTCCTCCGTAACTGGGCGAAATGTCCGTACTGGCACAGTCTCTCGACACGAGCACAAAGCCTACTCGATCCTATACATGCCATCGCGCGGACTATAGTGAGGGGACTCACCACTGCTCGAGTGGCCCGTACCTCTCGCGCGATTCTATCCACTCGATCCCACCAGGCAGCTACACTTCGAAAAAACACACCTCTCCCCCAACGAACGACGGCACGCGTCTCGCGTCTCTCCGTAGTACTCCCCACAGTCCACCACAGTCCCCACGACACGAACGAGAGCGAGAACGGCTCCGTCGTTTTAGATGAGTCTCTCTTGTGCCTACCAAGCCGCATGCGCGCGCGGAAACGTCTTCCAATGACATTTGTCGTAGCTGCGCGCTTCGAAAACTTTCTACATTTGAAATGAAATAGATATACTGTCACCGATGGCGATACTAAAAAATATAAAGACCGGTAGTGTTAAATTTACGTAACTGTTGAAATTTAGCCGGCCAGCTTGTATAATATTAATTTTTACGACTTATTGTTACCCTCATATTATTATAATTATTATAACAATATGTATGTGCACCTGTAATTCGATAGTATTCGATTTTTATTTGAAACTTTCATTAGGCCTGTTCGTTTTAGCTGTACTTCTTGCACAGTTCATCTTTTGTTCTTTTTCTTTTCATGTTGAAGAGAAAAAGAGAAAAGATGAACTGTGCGAGAAGTTTAGCTAAAACGAACAGGCCTATTTGTTACTATAATTAGATAATAATAAATCGTGGATTTACTTAATATATACAATACTGTAATTTTGAACCACGTATTCAGATATTTTAGATATCGACGGTCGAGAGATTTATTATGATAGTCGGTAATGTCGACAGTCTTCTATTATCCTCAGGACTCCATAGAGAATCACGAAAATTTACCCGGGGTCGGTAGTGTCTCGCCTCGCCGATGCATAGATGCAGTAGCAGGTAGCAGGTGGCAAGATGAATAGGTTAAGTTTGGCTCTTCAAAAATTTGAACAGGCGATTCAAACGATCTTTGGTCGCGGTTTTCCTCCAGGTAATTGAAAACCAACACGCATACACGTATTTCCAACTGAATTTTAAAAGTTAATGCGAATAATCCAAGTGATTACTTATATCTTTTTACGTTCCCTAACCTCAATTGAAGGAGCTGTAGAATAATCAGTTTCGTGCGCAGATAAATAAAAAGATATTAGTAATGTTAGTTTAAGGGCAAACTTCGTCAACACATTTATTGAAATCTAAAGAAGGATCTTTTAAACTTTCCGTGGTAGGACAACTATGTGCGGTCGACTGCAACGGTTTCCCGAACAAATCGAAATCGACGAGTCTCGGTGGTCATTCTCTAAAGGAAATTTTCGAGAATGGCATTTTATGGGCAGTTCCAAAACATCGACGTAGTTTGGAAGCGAGACTTAAGAGGAGATTCGGAGTAATGAAATATATGTGGAAGCCACCTATTATGAGAACCAATATATTAACGTGTACGAATTGTGGTCATCATTACGAAGCCAACCGTTTATGCGGTAAGTTTCATCAGTATAAGATAATTGTAGATTTAAAAAAACATAAGAAGCAGTTTAGATTTATATTCTTGAATAATAAAAATGAATAAAAGAAACTTACAATGGTTTACCTATATCTATTTATCATGCAGGACATTGTTACGAAAAAGTAAAGCTCGAGACTAAAGAAATGCAAGACGCCATTCAGAAAGCGTTGGGTCTAAGGCCGGTAGAACAGAATGTAATTGTATTGTACGACGGAGAAAAGGAATCTAAAACGGATGACTTTTGGAAGGTATTCAAAATATACGCTTTGTCGATATACAGATCAATTTTGTTTACATAAATACAGATCTAATCTATCTTCAATTCCAGAACCAAAGAGTAGTTGAGTTGCCAAAGAAAAGGCCTTCGTGGTTTCATCAAAACTTACTGGAGCCAACAACGCAGGAGCCATCAGATAAAAAAGACGTTAAACCTACTCATCTTGCTTAAAGTGCACTTGAAATCAGGTTTTAATTTTTCGTAGCCAAAAGCCGGAATATATTAGTCCAAAGGATATTCGAAATAATCGAAATTAAAAAGTACTAGAATGTTTTATTACATAAATATATTTATAACTAAGGTCCTTTATGCGACAAAAAATATTTCAACTACTTTTCGTGCTTTCGTTTGTTGATATAAAAATAAAATCTTTTGTAATAGACAGTATTGTCTCGTCTATAATTTATATCGGGTGTATTTTATCTATTTCAATATTCTATATTCCCAATCACCACGAATTTTCTTGGAATCCGAAGAAAATTTCACGTCTAACGGCTTATCACTGATTTTTTTATCACGAAATCAATGTACAAGCTCGAAATCCTCTGTAGAGTTTGACACCTCCTTGGTAAAATGATTTAAGACATGTTCGTGGAACTCCGCAAACGGTATGGATTTTCCGTAAACAGTTCCGCACAATGGGCACGTATTGATATCGGCGTCCATATTATCATTTAGGTTGGAGCATTTTTCCATGGAAATACTAGGATTCATGAGACTAGTCTGAGTAGCTCCGTGTTCTTTGAAACTGTCGTCGGAATCAAATTGCGTGCCCGTTTGACACATCTTTTTATTCGCGTTCTTTCGACAATTATTACATATTACTCCTGAAAATATATATGTTTCAAAATTGACAAATTTCTAGAGAACTTTCTCCATATTGCGACCAATGCCAGAAAGATGGTCCGATTATATTTACACTTGATTGAGAGACTTACCTTTTCTCATTTTTTTAAGATTCTGCAGGGCTCTTTTTAACCTAGTTTGCTGTCCAAGTAAGGTATCCTTAGTTTGGGACAACCGAATTTCATGCTGCTTTAGTTGCTCCAGCGAATCTGTGTCAGAATCTTCTGGATATGTGAAACCAACATTTTGTAAATTTAATTCGGAACGATTGTGCAACTCCACCATCTGCGTAAAACAACGGATATTGAGTTAAGAGGCGATAAATCGTTACGATATTTTTGCTTCCTTACCTCTGCGCATTGCTGTTCGAGATCAGACTTCTCTAACATAATACTATTTATTAATCGAAGAGATATTTCTTCCAAGCTTTGTTCTCTTTCACCTGCAACGAAAATTAGTTAATAATTGACAAGAAGCGTTGTTAAGGTATCAAGTTGATACCAACCGTCCGTAGCTAGTAAGTACGTCTTGTTAGCGCTCTGTTTATCTAGATCAGACACATCGCGAAAGTTGTACGAAATAATTTCAGATGGCTGTGTGGTGGGATGCTGCTTAAGCGTGTCCGAAATTTTTGTTAATTGACTACCTAAAGATTTATTAGTTTTCGTCAGTCTCGTTAATCTGTTCCATAACTGACGATTTTCCGCGGCCACCATGAAAACGTGATGCGACAGCTGAGACTTTTGTTTTGTGAGTTCCTCTACCTTTTCCTGCAACCCAAAAACATATTTACTCGTACCGTTAAATGCATGCAAAATACCATAGACCGCAAATGATCAGAAATATGTGTTTCTTATTCCTTGATTTTTATATATCTTATTTTATTTCACATTACTGAAAGAAGTATGTACACAAAACTCGTACGTACTTGTCCTTAAAACAATATTAATGTTTCTAATGTTTACAATTCTACTGTATCATTCTCAATCGTGCGGCTAAACTGGGCTAAACGGACGGAAGAAACAAACAAATCTTGTGGCAAGTTGGTTGAATAAGAAAAGGCTACTTTCAGACTTTTAAATTCTCAAGAATTACCGATGTCTCTTAACAATCCGCATTGTGCCTTAAGTATTGTAACAGGTTTAGGAAGATGAGGTCTCTTCAGTCTACTTGTTATATCTAATTCGACTTGACGAACCTGCAGGGTTTGCAGCGCAGACCTGTCGCTCTTATCAACCTTGACAATAGCCGTGGACATGTCCCTGCCGCATTCGAGCCTGAGGCACACGTTCTCCTCCTCCACCACCGCCAGTCGCGTCTGCAACTGCTGGCAACGTTCTTTCATGGTCTTGAAGGCGACCAGCAGCGCGCAGTACGACCCGGAGGTATCGTTCTCCGCGTTCTCGGCGTCGTTCATCGTGCGACTCGTCGTTAGAAATTAGAAATTGACAAGCGCGGGTTCTTCACGCTCTACGACCGCGTCTCGCGACTCTGCGAACTTTCTCGGGTGAGCTTCCTGTTCCTGTCGCCCGTCCTGCCGAGGATGCGTTTGTGGGGGTGGGGGGGTGTAAGGTTAGGTCTAACCTCTTTACATTTTGCCCGCGCGGCTACAGGTACAAACACTCCGGACTCCGGATACGTTCGCACGGACCTAGCTCTCAGCCACTCTCAGCCTCCCTCAGCGAAAAGCAGCACGTGCTCTCGGTGTCATTCCGCGCTAACATTTGCAGGAGCCGTTGTGTCGCAGCGGAGTGAACGCGACATCAGTGATTCCCCATTTTCCGTTTTATGCTCCAGCAATGCCCAGAATTGCCAGTTTTCCCGAAGGAAAGAGGAGGGGACCGTCACTAGCTTCAGTCCATACGTATTAAGTTCGCGTATAACCCCAGAAATCTCTAGAGACAATTTCAAAAAGTGGCTTGATTCTGTAGGAACTGATTACGCAAACGTTAGTTTATTATAATGAATTTTGACGAACCTATAGGAACTTCTTCGTACATACATGACATTTTGTTTATTTTTTAAATATATCTAGTTATTTATTAAAATATTATTTTGCAGGTATATTGGTTCATTCGACATCGCAGCCGATTGGAACAAATAAATAAAACATAGCAAACCGGTTTCGATCTCATTAATATTCATGACTGCTTTACAGTCGCTAATGGTCGTTGACACTTCAAGTCGTCGACTTCGGTAGTCGCTCTTTCTTATCGAATACGACTGGAGAGGGATCTACACATACTCCTACTTACATATATACATTGCACATATACGTACAAAGATAAGAGAGTCGTGAAGCACTCATGTTTCTGCCGCAAATTGAGCTTTGACCAGCGTACAGAACATAGTTTACCTGCAGTCTCGATCAGTTTCGTACAACGTACATTTACTCCTTTTACCTGGCATCAGGACTCGCCATATGGACGCGTATGTATATATACATTGTTAAAAATAATTCTGAATACTCTCTTCGGATGACACGCGACACAAGCGTATCTCAATTGTTGCAATTGGCCGGTCCAATGTCCGTGACATAATTGGTGACAATTTACAGCAATATACTCCGTCGATGCGTTGACTATCATCACACAAATCACTTACCCCCGCGCGTACTGATTTAGACAGACCACGTGTGTATGTTTGTATGCACATGCACGTTTAGCATATGTGTGGGTGTGACACATAACTGCTGAGATACTCTTGAAACTTTTGACACTCGGTAGAGCGTGAGACATATATCTCGACGAACAGTGAGCTCCATTGGATACTTCCCACGCGATAACGTTTATTTCACGATTACCGTTGTTATCCGCGATACCGTTTGTCTCCGAAATGTCCTGATAATACCTGTTTGTTTCTGTTCTTTAGCGGTACAGTGGGATTAGGCTCGAGTTCTCTAGAGAAGCCAGCTATGTACAAAGTACTCTCCAATGTGTCAAAGTATACGGTGAGTACGTACGTGTATTTTTCATTGAAAGAAGATTCGAGCTGTTCAATGAAATTGATTGAATTAACAGGTCTACAATGGATTGCGTAGGACACCATCCGTTCTTCGTGGAGCACCTATAACAACGTTAAACCTAAATAAGCAACCGATCCCGAAGCAACCTGTTCCTGATCTCAAGCAAACTGCGGAACGTTACTTGAGGTACGACACGTCTGTATGACTTTTTATCTTCAAATGTTGTTACTCTCATAATTCATTACAGATCTTTAAAGCCACTGTTGACTGACAACGAATATAAAAATACGGAGAGGATTGTCGGTGAATTTATAAGCCACACGGGCGCGGGACCTCGGTTGCACGCTAAATTATTGGAGAGATATCAAAATACCGATAATTGGGTACTTATATATATATCTATAATTGGGTACATTTTTTCAAATATTAGGCGAATAATAATACAAATTTGCGTCAACTTATTTTAGATGAAAGAATGGTGGCTGGAAGTTGCATACTTAGGATACCGCTTGCCCGTGATCGTGCATTCCAGTCCTGGAACTGTCGGGCCACCTGTTATTTTCCAACGATCAGATGACGTGTATGTGTACGCGGCGCGTCTCGTAGCTGCAGTGTGCAATTACAATGAGATGGTCAAGAGGTGAGTTTTCTACAGTTTACAATTTAAATATTTTTTTTATTTCTTGTGATATTCATTCGCAATCATGCACTGCAGTGAAAAGATGATACAAGAGATGGCTCGCAATGATCCACTTGATATGCAGCCTTACGGCATGATACTCGGCACGCACAGGCAGCCTAACAAAGTAATCGATAAACTATTGCACACAGATGAGGCTAAACACATAATAGTCATAAGCAATAATAATGTAAGTATAATCAGCCTGATGAAACCATATAGCTGGTTATATTCCGTCTATATTACAGTTCTTTAAACTTTGTGTTGTCGATGAAAACGGCATTTTAAGTGAGGGCAAGCTCGTGGCTGCCGTAAAAGATATAGCAGATCGTTCGTGTACTCGAGGGAAGCCTGTAGGAATTTTAACTGGAAATGACAGAGACACTTGGGCGAAGGACTACGGCTTACTTTTAGGTTTATTTCAGTTTAGCTTTTCTTTTCGTTTTTTTTACCTTCGTATAATTTGCATTTCATTATTTCAAACTGCGCAATTTTTTTTATAATTTCTAATTCTTTAACTTGAATTGTTATCGTTATATATTTTCAGAACTGGGTAACAATAAGAATATAATCAAGGATATAGAATCTTCCTTGTTTATATTGTGTCTCGATAAGGATCTACCTAAAGACGCTTTTAAGGAGAAGAATAATGCCTCGGTCAGAGCGGTTCAAACTATGACAGGCTACAGCAGCTGCGTAAACGCTGGTAACAGGTGGCACGACAAGACTGTGCAGGTGAAATATCTGACTAATATTTATTATAAATAAATTCAACGGTTTTAAATATTTTAAAACAATTATCTTTTGATGCCGAGATAAACAAGGGACACATCTTTACAGTACATAGTATCCGCCGATGGTTACATTGGCATGGAATATGAACACAGTCCATGCGAGGGAGTTCCGGTTGCTGTTCTTCATGATTATGTATTAAAATATATGTAAATAATTAAATAATACTTGCTACATAAGCTGCCCTTTTAATGGGACGCTAATAAAAAAAATCTCAATTTGTTTCCAGAGCGACAAGAGAAAATAGCGCGAGAGACGGAAGATCTGCGGATTTTCCGAGACCGGAACTTTTGAAGTTCGAAACTAACGACGTTATAGACTGTGCGATCGAGGTAGCTACCGATACAGTAGATAAGTAGGTTGATTGCCTCTTTACGATTACCTTACACCAGTACTGTCGGAAATATAATACTTGTAATTTTTCAGACTCTCCGACGACATAGACATGGAATGTTTTACATTCGAAAAATTCGGCGCGGACGCTATAAAAGCGATTAAACTGAGTCCCGATAGTTTTATCCAGATCGCGATGCAAGTGACGTTCTATAATTTACAAAGGAAGGCGCCAGCTCATTACGAAAGCGCAGCATTACGAAGATTCATAAATGCCAGAACCGAGTGCATCAGATCTACTAGCACCGAGTCTGTTGAATTTGCAAAAGTAATGCTTCCTGAGGAATGTAAGAGCAAACAGCAAAAGAAGGAAGTGATGATCAGAGCTATAAATGCTCATAAAGAACTCGCTGCACAAGTAAGACAATCGTTCTTGGTTCACAATGCATTTTTAATCATAATTTTTTTAATACGCAAAAACTTCAGAATTGATGTTTCTTTTTGTATAGGCTGCGACAGGACAAGGTGTCGATCGGCATTTGTTCGGCTTAAAAATGATTGCGAAAAGCGAAGGAATGGAGCTCCCAGAATTGTACAAGGATGTTGGTTACACCAGAAGTACATACTTCAATTTAACGTCGAGTCAGGTAATTCAAAGTTGTAAAGAAATTCCTTGGAAAGACTGAAGCGTGAAAATGTTCTAACGAGAAAAGATAAATGCACATTTACGCTAATCGATATAACTTTGTGATTCAAAGGTGCCATATAAGTCAGCGTCTTTCATGTGCTACGGACCAGTTGTTCCCGATGGTTACGGCTGCTGCTACAATCCGCGACCGAAGGACATTCTATTTGCCTGCTCGTCGTTCAAATCGTGCAACGGAACTGACACGAGGGAGTTTGCTCGCGTTTTGCAACAGACACTGTCAGACATGCGAGAGATAGGAAGTGAATAAAAGTGCAGAGAGACTCCGCAATTTTATTGCGATAGGAAATGGAAGTGTCGAAGTTGATATTTTTATATATGTATATACGACGATAAACAAAAACTCGAGATGCTCGAGTCAAGCGGACTTGTTTCTTATAAACTTTTTATTGCGAAATATATACTGGAGATCCGAAACATGTCACAATTGTATTTTCTCACAATAAACATACGTTAATCTCATTGTGCAATTACTCAATTCAGTATAATGTATAAATATAAAAACTTATAAAAAAAAAACTGACGATTATGCGCATTTGGCAAGTATTATGTTACAAAATGTAATATCACAGTTCCGTTCTGGTTCTGGGAGGGTAACCCCAGAAGAATGTCGGGTATCCTCTGACTTCTCTTTCTCTGGCCACGAAAGCGGTGAAGGAAGAAATGCAATTTCCTATGAAATAATTAGACCTTCCGAGAATCGCCAGATCCAAATGTGCGGATACCGGCGGTTCCTGCCGGTGCACCGATATCTATATGGGAACGATGACATATTAGCACTCATTCATCAATGACGAATATTTGTAAGCTTACCTTCATACGCGACAAGGCCTCTCCAAGTCTATCCAACATGTAATCATTGTCAGATGCCACAAACACAGACTTAATATCTTTGCTGCTGCGGATAACACGCTTCAGCTGAGTTATTATTGTATCGAACGACGGCAAGCACATCGATAGAGTTGCTTTGCCACGTTCGTTTTGGTAACCAAGGCACTGAGGAGCGGCGAAAAGATCCGGCGCGGACGGTATATGTTCGCAAGCGCGTTCCTGAAAACCAGATACATAACAAATAGAAAACTATTATTTTCCATAGGATGTTAACATGCTATTAACATTACATATTATCCGTATAAAAATATGTACAGCAAATATCACATACCCAATCGATCCCGTTTCGCAAATGTATGCCGACAAACGCGCCCCTTGGCAATTTTTCCCTTATAAACGCCTTCGCTTTATTCAGGATGTCGTTGTTCCAGTTGAGGCACTTCTGCAGAGGCTTGTTCAGAGGCTGAACTGGAAAGCTGGCAGGTGCGCCTGTGAACGCTAGTACCGGCCAAGTTTCAGGTGGATAATACCACTGCCACTGCTGTTGCCTCGCACGAGTGTAATATGCATCGTAATAATGGAGCGGTTTGTAAAATTCTGATTTAACGAAATCTATATTATACGTGTCCCAAAAGGGACCAAATGGATTCCCATGTTTCGCATTACAGGACGTTCCGTTGCTCCCCACGCGAGCCTCGTAACAAAAAGCTGAGGAAGAACGAAGAGTTTATCTTTCTTTAAAAAAAAAATTGACATTAAAGCTCCACGTATCTTGCTTTCAAGAGAATCCACATTAGAGCTTACATATTCTTTTTTCGGGTGGCCATATCTTTGGCGCGACATCTCTCATAAAGTCCTCCATTAATATCGCTTTGTGGCAGCTTTGTACTTGGGAAACATTGAAATAGGTATCGAACGGTACTTGTATCTGAAAATAGAATTGAATATTAGATGTCACTATGTAAAATTTGCGAATGACGTTACATTACATCGCAGATTCTGTGCTCACAGATCTCGTCTCTCCCGTCCGATATTCGACCCACGGCGGTAACACCAGGGTACGATTCAAGGCCTGGGTGAAGCCTAGAACTCCTAAAAAGTGATCTGCCTGATTACCAAAGCGTCCTGAAATGAGAATCGGAGTTTTATTATCATGTCGAACGATGTCGTGGGTATGATAAAAATCGAAATCTCTCTTACCCATACAAGGACAATAAACTACGTAACCATTCTCGTCGATGTCAACGTCCTGGCAACGTGCGACGTAAAAGTTGATCAAAAATAACGTAAAAATCAATGTCTTCATCATCGCAATAAATTACGTGTGGCACTTTTACGACGTTTCACGATATTTGACACTCTGTAGAAATTAGCGTTAATATCTTCGCGAATTCCTGCAATGTTTGCACACAACTTTTTGTGCGACGCGAGGCGCGAGGTTAAACATGCATGATATAAACAGACTCTACTCCGGTTCCCATGGAGACGTACGTCGATCGAAAATACAAGTTTCGCACGTCATCGAAATATGAAGTACCTGACTCGAGCCATGAGCCACGGAGCCATATGTAAAGATAAATCACCGATGAAAAATAAGGTGTATTATTCCCGAGCGGGTTGTGAACTGCCGTAGAGTTAGCAAATTGAATATTTTTCAATTATTCATTATTCTTTTTCATATAATTTGCATATAATAGCATAAGACCGCTGGACCATTGAGCATCTTATATGTAAATTAATATGGCGACTTCATGCTGGATGCTCATTGGTTTTTAGCGGTCATGCTACGCTTATGTGTGCGATGGCCTTTTAAATGCTTACGTATATCTATTCTATGGTTGACACGAGGTCGCTTTGTAAAAGAAGAGGTTATCCTTAAATAAGAATCGTAAGTGTAATCTTATTCCAAATTATGTTATATATCACATATATACATACGTTTATGTTTTATCTCATTCGTGTAATTTTTTCCGAAGCATTTAATTTCCAACATTCTTACAGTTATAAGACAAATAACCGTAATCACTTTTAGGTTATGCGTAATTTTCGGAAATTGTCTCAATTGAAAGAACGAAGAGAACGAACGTTAAATGTACGTCTTCCCCACGTAATAAAGGATAAAAAAGATGTTGAATGCTTATTTGTGGGTAATTTTCACGTAAAATTACCACGACAATCTAGTAGATCATGTCACGTAGTCTTTCCTACCGTGGAGGAAAAAAACAAGAACTATAAACTCGCAAGAGGTAAAACGGCTGTAGGCAACAATAGCAAACGAGTTGTTATTCAACCGCTCTCTGATTTGGCATTTAGAACAGAAACCAAGAAGATAAAGAAAAAGATTTTTATACCCGAGATCAAACCAGATATCCAAGTGACACAAACGTAAGAATATTTATACTTGAATCATAACTTTATTTCGCAAGATTATTAATAATTCTGTTGTATACTTATACAGGGTATTTGTCTCAAATATAGTAAATGGTACGAAATCACATGAAATAAGAAGTGCCCTTCCTGGGTGTGCTCGCGTTACTTTATTACCATCTTACAACAAGGACTTTAGGTAGGTACAATTTATTTAACTCGTTTAGTAAGTTTCTAACATTGCTGTAATACACACACACACCACACACAAAATGCTTGTCAAGATTGTGTCGTACATGTAATACATTTTATGTTATGCGTAGAAGCGCGATAGCTAAAATGGAAGATATTCAAATAGCAGCAAAATATCTGAGGGAGAAGCATAACTGGCCAATTTTAAAAGGACACAGAATATGTATGAAACCAGATACGAGGACAAAACATAAGAAGACAAGATCTACGAGTATTCCAAAAATTCGTAATGAGAATATAACGAAAGAATGTAAGTCCAATGAGAGCTTAAATTATACAGAGGATAACAATGATGGCAATTAAAATAATTATTAATTATAGTAGACACATTTTTGAAAATTTATAAGAAACCTAAATTACCCTCAAATTTAATCTCGGTGAATTTCCACCGTACAACTGTTTCAAAACTTACCGATAGAAAAAATACAAAAGAAAGCTCTCTGATCCTATAATGACTTTAATCCTAGTTTGAGTAAAACATTCGTTCCTGTCCGTAACTAAAACTTTACAAGTAAAAATTAAGGATTTACTTGCTACGTGTAATACAAATTATTGTATTACATGTAGCATCCTTCTTGGATAACACTCGACACAATTGCCTCTCCAAAGTCGCAGTCGTCGTTTAAAGATTTTCAGTATTCAAACTTTACTTGGTTAATAAATCATTCTCTCGATATATGATAAAATTATATATATACATAGCACTCTCTTTTGTTATTTTGTATCTGTTTAAATTACCTCTGCAACCTTTCGCGAGAATACTCGTAATTAAAGGCACAGCAAATGCCATAAGGAGTAATTACAGGCTCTATGAGTTCCGAACAAGGGACAGTTAATCCTTCGAGTTGACACATCAGTAGAAAATCGTTACAGTTTGCGTTGACATTATCAAAAAGTTCCAATAGTGAGAGCCGATTCGCCGAGAGAATCTCTTGCAATTTATCCAAAATTCGACGGGAAAATAATTCTTAGGATAGATCGCCTCCCGTAAGTGTTTAATTGAATTTTGAAAGTCAGCCCTCGTCAGGCCTTGCGGCATGTATCTAAAAATGTCCCGTTCCTTTTACCGGTCTCGCTCGTTGACATTGACTGATAAGAAACAGTTATATTAAACTACTAATCGCCTACATTCGCTTCTGCGACGTCAGGTAAGGAACCACTCTGTGCGTCATTGCGATATCACCGTGGCACAAAGTTAACGCAGGTAACTCCAGCATGGCGGTCGAATAATGAGAACTGATTATTAGGGTAGTGATACTAGCAGACTGATGTCTCTGGTAGTATAAGCTCGCCAATCGTCCAGCAGCCAGAGATGATAATAACAGAATGATTATCCAGATGGATCTAACGATAAGTGCGCATGTACATACACGTGCGAGAGATATATGGTGTTATTGCAAAAATCATTTGAGATTATTTGAATAAACTGAATCACTGATTAACGAGAAATCGACTGACAATGAGAATCGATATTAAATTATAGGAGAATAAAATCGTGATATAAATTAAATGGAGTGGTACTTACAATACATTCGCGAAACTATCACTCGTTAATTTCAAACGATATAATATTGATTTACATTAATGAATCGTGCAATAACTTTTATTACTACTAGATATATATATAAAATACCTCTCTAATTTTGTTTTAGCTAAAGTCGTATATTTGAATCCATGTATTGTCGATTCTACTGAGAACTCTTTATAAGCTTGACCGAGCACTCGTATCACATCCTTAATAATTCTAACAAACATGCCTCGTGTTTTTGCAAGAATTTTATTTCGCCAAAAATTGCTTTTTATGAGTATATAATATTCAATAAGCGAGAATGTTGGCCAAAAACTGGAACCGGATCGATAGGTACATACATACATACATAGTTTTCAATCGTTCCACTTTGTTTGGAACTGTTTGGAACAGATAAGGGCCTTGGCCACAGTATAAGCACAGATTAATAATCTAAATAATAGTATAATCTAAATAAATATAAGTACAGTATAACCAGTATGTTCATTCGACCCATTTTTGTGGTTCGCGCCGATTCGTACTGCGCATGCGCATCGTCATTGACCGTGTTCAGCAGACACAACTGTTGAGTTCGTCTTATCAACACTCTGCGTTGATTAGTTGGTTCTAAAAGTAAGAGCCAATCACGTTCGACTGCTACTCAGCGGCTTGGTCTGCCGAACGCGCCCATTATTTTGGCCTGAACCAATCAGACGAGTTTTCTATGTGCGATAGTGCATAGTCTCGAATAATTCAAGATATCGCAAATCGATATTGAGACGTAACGCTAATCGATATTGTTTGCGAGCGAAGCAAAGAGCGAAGAGACTCTTTCGAGTCTTTCCGAGAAGAGGCGCACGCTAGAGTCATCAAGTGCGTTGAGTTTCCTACGATATCCGTTTTAATCCTGCCTATTTATTAAGAATTACGAAAAAACGGAAAGTTCATCGAAATCCATAATCTATACAAGTCAAGTATATTTTATTGCATCCAGTTTTCACATATTATTACACGGAATATTTGCGTGTTCATACTGTGTACTGTGTACTCATTCATATTTTTCTTCAATCTCAAAAATCTCTATTTCGTCCGTTTTTTTTTGTAATTCAAGATTATAGCTACGCAGAACGTAACTTTGAAACGCGATAACTTTTTTGATAAAATATGTATTTGTATTCGCGCACGAGGGTTGTATTTTGTTGTTGCGATACCTACCTAACCTTAAAGAGTGCACATTCTGATGTTTGTGATGTATTTTGAATTGCCACGTAATCCTTGTTATATTATAGTAGAACTATAATACTATATATATTAGATTGTTTTCATTATTGTTATTTATAGAATGTTGATGCCAAAGAAGAATCGTGTGGCTATTTACGAGTACCTTTTCAAGGAGGGAGTCATGGTAGCAAAGAAGGATTATCATGCATCGAAACATCCAGAACTAGAAAATATTCCCAATCTTCAAGTCATCAAGGCTATGCAGGTAAAAATTTTTACTGTTTCCTTTACATTATGCATATAAAGTAAAATCCTGTTGCATTATTATTAGTTTGTAGATTAATGTGGGTTGACGTTTCCAGTATGACGGCGTTTCGTTACTCGCATGATGCGCATAATGCGAGTAACGAAACGCGCCCCTATGTGTGTGTGTGTGTGTATATTGATTCACTTTACCCATTCATCTTTTTAGTCGCTGAAGTCTAGAGGATATGTAAAGGAACAATTTGCATGGAGACATTTCTATTGGTACCTTACAAACGATGGTATTGAATACCTGCGTGGATACTTACATCTGCCACCTGAAATCGTGCCCTCCACCCTTAAGAAACAACCGAGATCCGAGACTACGAGACCGAGACCCGCCGCAACTAGAAGCGAAGGCTCGAGACCAACGGAAGATCGTGCGGGATATAGACGAGGACCGGGCGGTCCTCCAGGTGCTGGTGACAAGAAGGCCGATGTTGGTGCCGGTACGGGCGATCTCGAGTTCCGCGGTGGCTTTGGTCGTGGAAAAGCCCTTCAATAATTTTTTTTTCTCAAATAAAATTATGAAATAAATGTGTTCTGAGAAACAAGACTGATGATTTTCAAGTTTTTATTTTGACACCCAAGTGCGAATCGCACTTTCATCAATACGTTTGTAACGTATGTTATACACTGAAGGAAAAGGAACGATCATTTGGTTGATGGCGGGAGCTTTATTACTCACGATATATATTAAAAACCTACCCTACAGCTCTTTTTATATTTATTTCTTTATATAAATTTTCTCAATTTATATTTTACATGGAAGCAATGATTACGGAGAGTAGTATTTTAGCAAAGTTACAGCACATTTGTAAATTAGACCTGTTTTAATGAACGAATAAATCAATCATGTTTAATCGAGACTTTCCAATCAAAGTCATCACAGATTATTTGTGCATATATATCAAGTATAAACAATTTTTGTATAGTTTCAAAGTTTTAGTCAAGCTTTTTCCTCAAATCCGAATAAAAATGTTTCTAAAGTCGTTATAATTATTGCAACTCTGCCAAGGACAAAGTACTTCGTCAAAGTATGTCAAAGTATTACAATATAAGCTTACATGATAGATGCAGGAAGATAATTGACCTTCGCATATACGCTTCAAAGACAGATATAAAAGATTTGACTGACATGAGCTTTAATTCAATTTTCATCTATATTCATGAGCTATTATATGGATAATTTTTGGTTACCATGACTATCGATATTTACAATGGTAACGCTACTTATGCTAAATTAGATATTATATTAATATTACGGATAACAAGTAAATTTACAATCATAAATTATAGCACAGAACTTGTGTATCATTTAAATTTCTGTTTATGAGACACATGAATTACAAAATAAATATTATTTATATTTCTGACAATATAAAATCAACGATAAAAAGAGACAGATACGAAAGATACACATTTCACATCGTATTTTATCCCCTCTCAATCTCACCTCAGCCTCACTTTCCATTTCCCTATACTTAAGTTGGATCAGATTTGACAAGTTATTATTTGAGAAATTTGAGTCTACATAACACTCACTTGGTAAAAGTTAATGTAATGTAATAGTTGTAATGTTTGTCATTTCAGTTTTAATAGTGTCGTTATATGTGCCTGCCGTAAACCAATCGACATTTCCTAGGTATTTACTTCTATAATAGATGAACAAAATTTGCCAGATTTGGAGGTTTCACTAATAAGTAGCATCTTAAATTTTAAGACGCTTTGCTTTTCGTACATTATCGCTTATCACTTTGGTATAAACGTATTGTGCGAATACACATCTTATTAAACACTCAGTGGAAGTATTTAACAAAATTAAAATTATCCATATATTTTGCGCCTAACTTTAATCGAATAATCATTTTACGTATTACTTCAAGCTTAAAGCAAGCGATTTTAAGAAAATAAGTTCCGCTTCTGTGTAATTATCAATGTATGTACATCTCTCCTTTTTAATACATATATCGCATAAGGAAGAATCTAGGATCCCATTCGAAAAAGTAATCGTAATTTAGAATCGAGTAGAACAGACACTGGAATAAGAACTGTATCTAGAAACTATATAAAATATAAAAAGAATATCGAATATGCCATTGGCAGCGTAATCTTCGGTTTCCGTTTTATCGTAACAAGGAAGTTTTATTAATATGAGAAATTTAATTTTTTTCATATATTAAGGAATACAAGCTGCAATCGCGCTACAATCTGGAAATTTACTTTACTCCAGCCAACAATTGCGACAAAACTCTAGAAACTACATATGAATATCGTCAAATACATCGTATCACATTTTTGCTTGTTCGGAATTCTGTGATTTCAACTCTATATATGTACATTCAGTATATAGTATACAAATGTCCAATAGAACATTACATCGTAGATCGACTGAAATTTTTGATATGGGAAGCTAATCTTGGTAAATCTAGAAACTAAAGGCTACTTGTACAATTTATCGCTTTCTCTCACACCATGAACAAAAAATAATTTCGTATATTATGCAGCATGGAGAGAAGAGGAGAGGGGAAGGAAGGGGAAGAGAAAAGAAGAGAGGAAAGGAAAGGATACGAAAAAAGAGGAGAGAAGGGAAGAATGGTTAACTCACACACACACACATACACACACTCTCTCTCTCTCGCACACGCAATGGAAAAAAAACCGATAAGGGGATAATTCTCTAAATGTTATCGAGTTAAACGCAATCGGATCTTAGCCGTTGTCGCATCTTACTGTGTCGCAATTTGTACTCCAGAGTAGGCAATTGCCTATTCCACTGTAACAGATGAGGAAGACGGCGGCGAGAAATACAAGGCTGCAGATGGTACAGGGCTTGCGCTCCAGAAAGAACCCGATTAGATAAAGTGCCATGAACATGACGTGGGTTTGCAGCAGCGCTGGGTTCACGGGTTTCGGGATGAGCAGCACCGGAATCAGCCACTGTAGGCAGTACATTCTCTCTGGATCGTATGGGATAGTCGGAGTTGCGCTCGTAACGTCTCTCTCTCTCTCACGTCAAACTATCTCGTCTACGACAGGACCTTCGGGGAGTAACGACAATGACGTTAGTGAGCGTTATTCGATACCTGATAACTTGGACATCCATCGACATAAAAGCCGTTATTAACCTCATTTGGAAGCATCGTCGTTCGCATGCACGAATCAATTCATCGTCATCCCTTAAAATTAAACATACATTTTTCTTCGTCGTTCGTGCACGATCAGCCGATCGCAGCCGACGCAGCCGATGGACTGACAATTGACACGTTCGATTTCGCACAATTTCGAAACTACTTTACAAACGCAAACTAAACGCACATGTGACGTCGCGATCAGCTGCGCGAGCTGCGGGGCTGCGGTCAGCGGTATGCGGCATGCGGTGTCTAGAGTGGTCTAGAGTCCTAAGGTCTGTTTTCTATTGCTGCACTGCTACATGGCTTCCGATAGGTTGAAAATCTGTTGCCTGTGTTATTCTTTATTCCTATTGGGCGCGTTTAGTAGACCAAACCGCTGAGTAGCAGTCGAACGTGCGTGGCTCATACTTTTAGAACCATCCAATCAACGCAGAGTATTGATAAGACAAACTCACACAACAGTTGTGTCTGCTGAATGCGGCCATTGCCTGTACACCTTTGATAGCATAGCGTTTCCGCGTCCCGTGTGCAGAAACCATATATGGCTGATGCTAGGTCTATAATGCGAGAGTTTATTATTACTGACAATGAGTAGTTTTATTTATGGAATCATGTTACTGTACAAATTAGATTTTAAGATTCTCGGTGAAATAATAATTAGTTATGAATTAATTCTTACTAGAAGGAAGAGGTGTGATATCTATATTTGTCGTAATTAGATTTCTTTTATATAAAGGATAGAAGTAATAGAAAATCGGGTTTTAATAACAGATACTAATACTTCTAAAATAAATAATAAATATTTATAATTAGAATTGAGAATTATTAAGAATTGAGAATTGAGAATGAAAAATGGAGAATGGAGAATAATGGAGAATGGAGAATGGAGAATGGAGAATAGAGAATGGAGAATTGGGAATTGAGAATTGGGAATTGGAAATTGGGAATTGATAATTGAGAATTGGGAATTGGGAATTGGGAATTGGGAATTGGAAATTGAGAATTGAGAATTGAGAATTGGGAATTGGGAATTGGGAATTGGAAATTGAGAATTGAGAATTGAGAATTGAGAATTGGGAATTGGGAATTGGGAATTGAGAATTGAGAATCGAGGTCTACGATTCACGACTTTACGACTCGCATTATAGACCTAGCATGAGTTTCCACTGAGCGAGTCACGCGCGCGTCATCCGTTACGACCAATCAAAACCTGGTATTTTATTACATTATTTGTGACGGGATGTTTAGATTGGTTAACGACAGATGACGTGTGATGCGTGAAAACTCAGCCCTATGCGTAGTGATCGTTAGCAATCGCTAGGTGTCGCTTTGAGACCCCTGTAAAAGAGAGACACAGAGAGACGTTACTGATTTATTATTTTTTCGTGTATGTAAAGAGTGCACAATTGTCCGATTGTCCGAGATATCGTGACAGAGTTTTACGTTTTTTTTCTTACAAATTGATCGCTATCGCAAGAGTTCGATCGCCGAATATATGTGCTATATTCCATCCAATTAATTTCTCAATGATTTGGAATTTTATTAGTGTCTATTGTTCAACACTATATACACACACATTTCGTTGAATGGAATCGCAATTTTATGACGGATATTTATAACGTTTGATTCGTATGTAACATTTGCCTTTGTGAATTTATTTGTATAGTGTCGATCAAACTTGTGCCGATAACTTATGTAATTTCCTCCTTCTTTTTCCTAGGTTAGACTATTTCCTTACAAATGGCGGATAAGGCTATGATGAAGGTATCGCTTTATACGTTGGGACCGTAACACGCGTTTGACACGCGTACTTGTGTATTCTATTCTGAACTTGTAATTATCTGTATTTACAGCAAATCGCGGAACAAAAGCTCAAAGCCTTTTCCATCGGTACAATGGGTAAACGACCACTGAGTAAAAAGGAATTGGAAGAACAACGAAAGAAGGAGCAGGAGCAAGCTGCAGCTCAAGTAAATAACCAGCCTCCTCTTTATTTGCCGGTTATTGTACATTTGTACATAATTTTTCATTTATATTTTAAACGTTACGTGCAGGCGTTTGAAGAATTTGTAGCGACCTTTCAAGAGACACCCAGTAAAACGACTAGTAAGGTTTGGGTCAAGGCAGGAACGTATGACGCAGGAAAAAGGCGTAAGTATAGAATTTATGAACGTTTAAAATACACTTTTTATATAAATTATTAATTCTATTCTTTTCGTAGAGGAGGACACGAGAGAAAAAGGAAAGCTTTATAAGCCACAGTCAAAAATCTCGGAACTAGTCGATAACAGATCGTCTGCTGAACAAGCTCAAGAGTATGCAAGATTACTTGGAACAAACGAAAGAAAACTAGATAGACTAGGCAAAAAGAAGAAGGAAGGTGAAAAGAAGAAGAGCAACCTCGAATTATTCAAAGAGGAGTTGAAGATGATTCAAGAGGAACGTGAGGAGAGACACAAGTATAAGGGTGTGGTGAAAACTGTAATATCTGCGCAATCTGAAGATCCCATGTTAGCCGCTCTAAAATGTGTAGAAGGTATGTATACGTGTTTACACACACATACACGCACGTGCTGGTGCATGCATCCACGCGTACATACTAGCATATATCAAACAATACATCCATCAAATCACTTAATAACTTGATGTACACATTTCATCTAATTATTGTATAAAATTGGCCTTGTAAAAAAATATGGCAATATATCTTTATCGCTATAGTATTTAAATATGTAGCATGCTTATAACTTTAGTAGGTAGTAGATCCTCATTTCCGGATCCGCGAAAGGCTAATCTGCATAACTTCATTGATGATCCCCGTCTCTTAGCCCTGATATACGAGGGTAACCTTTTGTCCTTCCTACATCTTTTTCCTCTTACCACCTTTATCTCTCTCGTAATTACAGCATATGTTGAAGGGTTTTTATTTTACAGATGGTTCATTTGACAATGGTGATCCAAATACCACAAACTTGTACTTGGGAAATTTAAATCCAAAGGTGAAATATTATTTTATCACACTATATACCGATGTATCGCAATTCACAATCGATCATACTCTCCTACCTTCTTCTTTTGTCCTTACAGATCACAGAACAGCAATTAATGGAGATATTCGGCAAGTTTGGTCCTTTGGCTAGTATAAAAATAATGTGGCCGCGTAGCGACGAGGAGAAAGCCAGACAAAGAAATTGTGGTTTCGTTGCATTCATGAGTCGTAAGGACGGGGAGCGTGCATTGAAAAATCTTAATGGTGAGAATATAACAAGAGTATTTTGAAAAAATTTATACAATTTCTTCTCATTCTTTTATGTGTTTCGCTCACTTATTTATCTGTAAATTAATTTTAATATATTTATTATATTTGTGACTATAATATAATTTACAATCGATTTATACAATAAAAATATTAAAAACGTGTTACCTGTAATATGGCGAGGTAGGTCGTGATATAATGCAGTACGAGATGAAATTAGGCTGGGGGAAAAGTGTACCAATTCCACCTTACCCTATCTATATTCCACCTGCTTTGATGGAGATCACACAGCCACCACCTCCATCTGGTCTTCCGTTTAATGCTCAGCCACACCGACGCGACAGACACAAGGTACACGAAATGAACAATTTGAAGAGCGCAATTAATAAACTGCTCAACTATATATCTAAACAATATCGTTTTCTTCTTACTTAATATTACCCTCGCGAATAATCACAGTCTGAATATTTATTAATCATTTGCACACTTTTCACATGTGTTGATCATTATGGTAGGAGTACAAAAAGGCATCTTTTGTTAGAAATAGCTAGCATTTAAGATTTCACCAACATTCGATACACGTATTTTATTGAATAAAACTTGGTAAACTATTTATATTTTTCGTTTAATTATCGATTCAGCATTTTTAGGTTAAATTAATCTTATTAGCATCACAGTATATTATTATTACATATATATTTAATAAACTGATTTTATAATGATAAAATAAAACACGAAATAAGATTATCGCGTAAGGAACATAATAATACATGGTTTACTTTTTCCATGTGGTTGATAAAATAATATTTCAAAACAATTTAACATTAAAAAATTTAAATTGTCATAAACTCTTTTGTTAATTTAACGTTGGAATGGTATAACCCATTTTTGAAACATAATCTCAGATACCACGTATCCGCAACCTCCAGAGCGCGGACCCGCAGGAAAAGGAAAACTTTGAAAAGGTAAAAATATTCCTTTATGAACCATTCAACGTTAATAGCTTGAATTAGATATTTAATCCTGTTCCTTTATTCACACTCGTGTGCGTCCACACACACACACACACGCACACACACACACACATACACAAATAAAAGAACTTGAAAACGGTAATATTTTCTTTAAAATTGAAATTGGTAAGTTTTTTACGACAGATGCGAACTTTTTATATGTTTAATTAAAGACATTGTTGATAAAGTAAAAACGAGTATTTTTATCTTTAATTTATAGTGTAGAATATTATACTATGAATTATCTTTGTTAATCATGTAAAATAACAATTCTAATTATGTTTACGAATTGCGTTGTGGTAATTTATTGGTGACCACACATTTGTACCTTTTGGCATTTGGATTGGGACGTCCTGTCATCTATCGTTGTTGCACTATGATCTGGACTATAAGGTTTTGCAGAATGCTGTTGTCAAAGTGGTTATACCAACAGAAAGGTATTTGTTGATTTTAATATCATAATGACAAATCTGTAAGTATGTAACTGTGAAGAATATTTATGCTTCTGTTGAGAATGAAATATTTTGTGTCAATAGGGATTGACACAAAATACAAATGCATACTTAATCGAGTCGTGCGTTATAGGAATTTAGTCATGTTAATACATAGAATGGTGGAATTTGTAATTCGAGAAGGACCAATGTTTGAAGCGATGATTATGAACAGAGAATTGAATAATCCAATGTTCAGGTATATATCTTATGATGTATGACACCCGTACTTTTGTCATAACTGAACTAACAGGAACATTTTTAATTTCAGATTTCTATTTGAAAATTATTCTCCCGCGCATACTTATTACCGCTGGAAACTATATTCCATTCTACAAGGGGATGTGCAGAAAGAATGGCACACGGAAGATTTTAGAATGTTTAAAGGTGGAAGTGTATGGAGACCACCGCCGATTAATCCTTGGACACAAGGCATGCCAGACGAATTAATAGAAATGGAAGAAAGGCAAGAACCCAGGAGAGGTAGTCTCTCAAATAGGTAAGAGCAAAGAATAGTATGAAATTATTCATCGAGATAAGATACATCAAAACTGTAATTGAACTAAATTGCTCATTAAGTTTTACCTCACACTATATGTGATTTATATATATATATATTATATTACATTAATTCTTTGAAAAATGTTTTATTTTTTTATAGTCAGCGAGATCGTTTAGAAGATTTATTGCGAAACATATCTCCTGAAAGAATAAAAGTTGCAGAAGCAATGGTGTTTTGTATAGAGCATGCAGAAGCAGCAGAGGAGATTTGTGATTGTATTTCAGAGTCATTATCAATACTGCAAACTCCTGTGAATAAAAAAATTGCAAGATTGTATTTGATATCTGACATATTACATAACTGCGGAGTCAAAGTGACTAATGCCACTATTTATAGGAAGGCGTAAGTGATATATATATATACATACGCGCGCGCGCGTGTGTGTGTTTAATATTATATGCACGCGTGCATATGTAATATTAATTTTATATTCATTTATTTTACAGATTTGAGACGCGCCTTTTGGACATTTTTAACGAAGTTCACCAAGCGTACAAGCAGTTTGACAGTAGATTAAAAGCAGAAGGATTCAAAGTCCGCGTTATGCGAATGTTCAGAGCGTGGGAAGATTGGGCAGTGTATCCAAGAGATTTTCTGGTCAAGTTACAGAATACTTTTTTAGGACTTGTTTTGGTAAATTCTCAATTTACAGTAATAATATTTTATAGATTAAACCTTATGATATAATTCTAATTTCCTTTTGAGATGGACGAACCTGAACCTGAGAATGATGAAGATATCGATGGTGCACCATTGTCCGATGTTGATGGCGATGGTGCTGAAGATTTGGATGGAGTACCGCTTGATGGTGCAGCCTTGTTGAAAGGTGCCATGAAACATGGTCTCACACCTCAAACAACTTCAAATTACGACGATATTGACGGAGTGCCCAGTACATATGCGTTCCTGAAATAAACATATCGATATAGTTATATAATAATATATAAATAAATAACAATCCTTTATTTACACGTGTATATACATATATATATTTGCCGTAGTGGATGAAGATATCGATGGTGTTCCAATGGATGATGACGATAGCGCAAACGCGCGAAATAGGGATGACGAAAAGAAATCTGCAATGCCAGCTGGATTCGTTCCGTCACGATGGGAAACCGTCGATCCTGATCAGGTTTCGAAATATTTCCATCTCAGTAAATTAAGCAATTGATATCATGTTTACATACAATTTTCAATCGTCAGGTCGAGGCGCAAGCAATGACCACCAGCAAATGGGAAGAATTAGGTCAAAATGAAGATTCCAATTCTCAAGATACTAGTATGGATTCTAGGTACAATTTTTGTTTGACAATTGTTAATGCTGTCTTTCCGTAGTATTTTATATGTACGTTAAAATATGTTCGTAAAAATTACTTTAACAGTGGTAGAGATTACAATGAAGAGAGGCGAAACAGATTACGTGAGATTGAGGTAAAAATCATGCAGTATCAAGATGAATTGGAAAGCGGTAGAAGAACGTTGAAGTCTGGTATGACGATACAGGCACAAGTGGAACATTATAGGAAGAAACTTATAAGAAAGGTAAAGAGAAACATAATTTTTTTACTCATTCCGGTATAATTATATCACATACATGCGTATATAAAATAAAAATTTCTATAGAGCGAGAGAGAAATGAAGGATATAAAAAGCGAAGAACGAGATGATGAGAAACGAAGGGAGAAGAAACGAAGCCGAAGTACGACACCGGAATCTCCTAGTTACAGAGATCGAAGACGGTCGTCAAGTCCGTCGGCAAAAATTACAAGATATAGGTAAAGACTGTCTCAGATTTGTATATACGTTTGTTTCTCTATCCGTATCATATCTGGTGTCTAACAGTACTAACGATACAAATCGAAATATTATTTAATCTAGAGATTCTAGAGATACCCTATGACGCAAACTTTTTAACTGATTTTTAATTGGTAATTCTGTATAGCCTGCATGTAATTTAACAAAAGCATACTATTAAATTTTTACGTCGATATTATTTGTAAAGTAATTGCGCGTCGCGTTATTTATTTGTACTCGTAATATATTTTTAGATCACGCAGTAGATCGCCGCGCTGCAAGCGCAGATCAAGATCTCCGTATAAAAAACGCGTACCAGTTACCCCGTCCCCTCCTCGTATTCGACGTACGCCATCGCCTTCCTTTTCTTCAGGCAGAGGATCACGCAGATCGCCCACTAATGAGCGTTGTGACAGAAAAAGGCGCAGATCACCCTCTTTGTCGCCCCCGCCGCCTCCACGTACTTCCTCTAAACATAGAGCTTGTAGTCCGCCATCTCCTTCTCCACGTAAACACAGACATAAACATAAATATTGAATCACGATACGCCACGAATTACCTTTTCCGCAGGACGCTATTTTTTTAGACATTATTTTTTAGATCTCACATTTATTGTCTTATGATGCGTCACAGTTTGTAGATATGCATTGATATGACACCAAGAAGGTGAAGATTAACATTTCGACTCTGCTCGATACAACTAATTTGCCTCTATTTCCAAAAATATATAAGTTAAATTTCTTACTACTTTATTATTTCAATATAAAATTATTATAATTTACATTGTAAAATATATTTTATGCTGAGTGGCAAGACAGTTAAAACGGCGCGCGTTACATGCAGTTCTGAAGAAAGCATGACATAACGTATAGGGTGTTTTATCGATTATCGAAACTAACGCGCATCGCATATGATGATTTATCATCTTTTAAATACACACAGTGAAGACGAAAAGAGAGAGTGTATATATTAATTATAAAACATAAAGATAGAAAATGGTCTTCTTTAAGTTTATGCCAAGAATATGACTTCTTTATCTTAAATGCTGAAAATATTTCAGAAAGGAATAAAATAATCTTATATGTATCAAAAATATTATTGTTTTCTTGCATTGTGAACATTTCGAATAAATCATTTTATATATAAAAAAAACATCATTTGACACATCTGCTTTTAACCTTTTTATAAGATAGGAATATATTAATTAATAACTAGGCGTCCTGTGTTATATATATCGTTATAATTTACTTCATCATATTTGTCTTTAAATAAGTTTTGTGATATATTTTATAAAGAATATCTATTCTTTACTTTTACAGTCAACTTGACTTATACTACATCAATCCTTGTGAGATGATGATTAGTTTTTTTTATTTCTAAGTGGAACATAGAATCTCGCGATTCACTCATCCTTGTAATAGTCTAATATCTTTGATAAAAATCATTTGTGTGTGTGTGTGTGTGTGTGTGTGTGTGTGTGTGTGTGTGTGTGTGTGTGTGTATATATATACGTACATTTTAATTAATTCTCACATTTTCAATTTCAATTATTTATAACTAGTAATGTTTAATCTAATGACGATGACAGTAAAATACTTTATAGAATCATAATACATATAAAGTTCTGTTAAATATAAAAAATCATACTGTTGATCATTAATAATTTGTTATTTACGTTTCTCTTTTGGCATCTTATGTTTCTCTTCCTCTTCTTCCTCCTCCTCCTGCTCCTCCTCTTCCTCTTCCTCTTCCTCCTCCTCCTCTTCCTCTTCAACTTCGCTATCTTGCGGGGTAGGTAATTTTCCATATTTTGCGTCAAGTTTAGCTATTAATTCTAAATCGTCAACATTTTCGATTTCCTCCTCCTCCTCCTCATCAATTTCTTCTTCTCCAGCTTCTTGTTCATCTTCATCTTTAATCCTTATCTGTTCTCCATCGTACTCTTCTATCCCGGAAATACGTTCGCCTTCTGATGTTTCTAATTCATAATCTTCTTCTTCTTCTTCTTCTTCTTCCTCAGATGATATCTTAGATTGGTCATGTCTAATATTGATTTCTATAATAAAAAATGCAAATATAAATCAATCCGTTGTATAATTTTTCAACAAGAGATTCAAAAAAACACACATGGGGAAAAACAATATAATATTAACACCGCACCTTCTTCTTTAGTTGTGCTTTGAACTGACCATCTTTCTGTTACTTGTGCTGCTTCATCTTGTGGAATTAATTTCGTTAAGTCAGTTAAAGAAATATTTTCTTCTTGCAACTTATTATATTTGGATCTTAAATCTTCATAATTTTTCACTTGTACTTGTAGAGGTGTTTTACTTTCAACGTTCTCAATAGACTTAATTACTTGCTTAAGGTGAGGAGGTGAAATTATTGTATCACGTCTTGATAAATCAGGTATGTCGGTTATGTCATGCGGAGAACGAAAAGTACCAATATCAACTAAAAAAATTGATCGATATTGCATGTTATAAATACGTTGTTGTTATATAATATAGTCGTTTATTAATTCTATATTTGTTCTTCAAGCGCGTCAAATATGCCTTAATTTAATTATAATAAATTAGTCCTCATAAAAAAAACTTACTTACCTGTAAAATTTCAATTTAACCTTTTTTAATTATGATAATGTTACAATTATTCCAACTTATAATTCACATCTGATATAAACTCTTTCTTTTTAATATATCCTATAGTTATAACTATAAGAAATGTGCTGACATAAAATAGTGAGTAATGAAAAATTTACCGTTATTCCATCGTCTAACGAGAACAAAATGTGCAGCGACAACAAGTGCAACACCAACCCCGAACTTCACAGCCACTGCAACCACCATATGTTATTTCTGATTGCTACCCTTTTTATTATAAAAAAATACCGTGATTAATACAAAGCAAATATATATTTTAATATTTTATTCATATATATTTTATATAGTACTGGTGTCTATATTATATATTCTTGGATTATATATTATATATTATTTGAAATTAAATGAAATAAGAGCATGGAGGAGCACGCATATATAATATATCTATATCTATATTTATGTAATTATTCAAAAGTATCGCTAATGTGTATTTTGTTATAGATTATGATTCCTTACCACTAGTAGGTTCTTCTTCAACTTCTTCTTCTTCGGATTCACTATCTGCATCATTTAAATTCTCTTCTTCAATCTCTTCACCTTCTATCTGATAAAAAAGCATTAATGACAAAAAATATCATTAATATAAATAAAATAATCAATGTCGAAAGATAATCAAAGAAACAGTTACAAATGAAATGATATGTAAAAATAATAGAGATAACGAGATGTATATGTACCTCTTCTAGAGGTTCAGCACTATTATCGTCAATCTCATTAACGCCAGGTATGCTTGGGAATTCCTCAGAAACGTGATTATTCTTCTCTTCTGCAGAGTCGTCAACTGTCTCTGTACTAAATTCATCAAGCTCCATATCAGGGTGATCCATCATACTATTTTCCCTGTCTAAATCTTCGTTCTCATTTGTTTCGTCAACTTCTTCCAATATGCCAGTAGCATAGAGTTCTCGTTCTACATTATCGTCACTGTTATTTCCTTCGTCAATTTCTTCAGAACGATCTTCATCTTCTTTTTGTTCCTTTTTATTTTGATTCTCTGAAAATATCATTTTAATAGACAAAACGAAACATGTTTAAAATATTTTTGTAACATATCGCACAATTCACGTACCATCTACTGTCTTTTCAATTTTTATGTTATCTTTTTCCGCTTTCTCTTTGTCTTTTGCTTGTTCTCTCTCCTCTTTCTCTTCTTCTTGTCGTTCTTCCTCTATCTCTTCCTCATCTTCCTCTTCTTCCTCCTCCTCCTCCTCCTCCTCCTCCTCCTCCTCCTCCTCCTCCTCCTCCTCTTCCTCCTCCTCCTCTTTTGTTTCTTCTTCGTCGCCAATTTCCTCTGTATTTTCTTCTATACTGTCATCTTCTTTTTCAACTTTTGTCGATTTTTCTTTGTCGTAGCCCACTTTTACTTTCTCTTCTTCTCCTCCTTCTTCCTCTTCCTCCTCCTCCTCCTCCTCCTCTTCCTCCTTTGCTTCTTCGCTTACTTCCAGCTTTTCTTCTGGCTCATACGATGCATCGCCATGATTGGATGGCGATTCATCTATCCAGCCTTCAAATATACTTGCCCAACGTGACGATGTTATCGGCGTATCAACTTAAAAAGTATAAAATGTATCATAAGACATATACTTTTAGCACAAGTTTTTTCTTAAGTTTAGTTGAGTTAGAATTATTGTACTGTGTGTGTGTGTGTGTATCGAAAAATAATTTTTTTATTTACCATCTGTAGTCCCTCTATGTTCAAAAATTATTATGCCAATTAATCCTGCGAGAACAGCCAATAAAACGAAAAATATAATTCGTGCACACCAATGTCCACCCGTGCTGCTCTCTTTATAAATATGAATAGTAATATTTTCGGCAGAAGTATCAGTTGGGCTGATCAAAATAGGTGGTGGGGTCCCAGTATCTTCATCATCTAAATGTAATAAATTAAAGAGCGTTTGAAATCAGGATACGAGAGGATAAGAAGCGAAAATATTTTCGAAATTTGATTAGAATTAAGAAGATGAGAGGAAGAATAAGAGGGAGAGAGGGAGGGAAATTTTATATTATATCCGTACCGTTGAATATTATCCCTGTATCGCGGGAGAAATAAATAGGAAAAATAGATGACACTAGATGTACCTAGCATCCAAATTTAAATAGAAGATTTACGTATAAAGAGTATAGCTTTTTATATTCAGTTACTTGGATACATTCAAAGTTTTAAATAAGTTTATTAATATATGAGTAAAAGTCTAAAAATGTAATATTAAAAATCACAGATACAATAAGTGTGTTATTGCAATTGTTTCGGTAAATATAATTTACCCTAGACCTCTTAATGAAAGTGTAAAACGAGCATCGTGAAATATCTGAGAGAGATGCACGATAATGCGCATATAAGAATAAGTAGAACAAAATTCAAAGATAGTTGAACAAGAGATGCTTTTAGGCTGGATAATACAGTTTAATCTATTTTTAAAAGCTAAAGATAGAGATAGGTTGGCTCGGGAGCTACTAAAATCCACATTTTGTAATTTGAATGGCTTTGCCAAACTTTCTAGGGTCGACCGAGACTTAATATATACGCATCAAGAACTATACACCAATGACGACAAAACCAATAATTAGACTAATCTCCTGCAACACACATCAACTATAACGAGGCAATAGTTAATCGTCATAGCGTGAAATATTTTCAAGTGCCCTCTTGGCCCCTCAGTCCCCTATAGATTCCAAACACGCACAAAACGATTTTCTTTTTATAGATTATAATTCGATTCTAATAATATTTAATTTACGCGCGGAAATTATTATAGTGGGACGCGCGCGGCGGTAAGATACATACACTTAACGTTAATCTTTTAGAGATGCGCGTAGGGCGGCAATTGATACGTATATGTACAAGATATGACTATTGATTATTGTTTTGTACGATTACAGTCGGTCGTCGAATCGATCGGTCGTACAATCGCGTATTTCTAACAATAAATGGAAAATGACTATATCATCGTGATATATCTGAAATTTATCAACCGTCACGACTTGCGGTGTCATATTCGAAAGATGGAGGAAGCTAGTATACGAGCTATAGATATGGATGTAAAATGATCGAACAAAAATCGGAAAATCGAAATGAAATATATTATATATATGTCGTGCGAGTCGGCGCGCACATGGTCGCGGGCCGCGGGTCGTCAGTGCGGCTGCCAATGGCTGACTTAAGCTGCGAGCTGCGAGAGGAGTGAATATTTTTGGAACTTGATCGACAGAGATATTCGTAAGAATATAAAACTGCATTATGCGGCCGTGATTGGTGATATCGCGCGGCGGGGCTTTCCGCCTTGGCTCACGCGCCGCGCCGCGCCGCGCCGCGCCGTTGTGTTCCAATTTAATGCATGTCCGTAAATATGACGACGACGACGATCGTCGAGTTTGCGAGCGTGAAATCACGACCGAGATTGCACGTAAGTATAACGGGGTATCGCGTATTTCGAGCAATTTTGCGCGTATACGCGAGAAACGTAAAGAGCGGAGAGAGCGTAATTAAGCGCAATATCGATCGATCGAGATCGAGATTCCGAGACATTCGCGAGACTCCGGTCGAATTGTTTTCAAACGTCGAGCTATTATTATAGGCGCGCGGATGCGAGAAACGAGAGGCGATTAACGATCGAGATAATTAAGCGTCACACACGCCGAGCAGCGGCGATAGTAGGTATAGGTATATAAAATATATAGTCGATAGTAGGGATTTCACACGGGGATAAAAATAAAGGAATCAAACGTCGCGCTAAAAATATCGTATGACCGTGGGAGTCGTGTTACGAAAGTGCGGTATGTCACGCGCGCCCGCTCTCTCGCTCTCGCCCATTTTATTTACCTTTCTTACGTCGTTTTTCCTTCCGTTTCCTTGGCTGCACATCGCCAGACATTTTTCGACGAGCGAACGCCTTCTCGTCGAGTATCGTCGCGATCGTCCCGAAGAATTTGAATTTTCAAACGATCACCGCACACCACTCCCACCACTCTACAAAAATTTGTTTCGCGAGACGCGGATGATAGATCGCGGCGCATTCGGCACTAGGCGCTACCGACCACCAACTTACCGAGCGCAAAACATCCTATATAAATTTATTCCATGTCACTAGAATAACTAACGCGTCTCGCGTGCCACCCTGCCACCTATCGCGCGACAGGGAAAGTTCCTAAAACTACTTGGACTCGTAGGGCTGAGTTTCCACTGAGCGCGTCACGCGTCGCGTCGTCTGTCGTTAACCAATCTAAATATCCAGTCACAATTAAATAATGTAATAAAATAAGATGTTTTAATTCGTATCGTATGAACCACCATTCACCCCCAAATTTATCGATAAATCGATACCGATGCGTCATACCACGTATGTATGTACACAACATATACATACATACATTTCTTTCTTTTGTGACGTGTTGTATGTATGTATCTTTAAAGTTTTTTTCTCTATACAGAGATGCTCTCGATTGACAATCGATACGACTAACAACAAGAATTATCTTTCAAGATCGCACCACCCTAGGCTTTTTTGGCCTTCTAAACTACGGAAGAAGCTCATCGCGGAGTTAAATTCGAAAATAAGTTACGTGTGTGAATCGTTTCATTCGTACATACAAGAATCTTTTAGAACGTTTATAAATGACCATCTGCCGTAAACGTTGCTCGTATTCTAAAAGATAAATTGTTTCTACATTTTTCGCGATATTTAAATATCTTCAAATCGAAAAGAATTCTTTCAGTATTATCCTTCGATCGTGTTTTATTATACTGTTTAATGATATCTCTTTTCCAATCGTCCCGAAGAATTTGAATGTATTAATTCGGATATTGTGTGTAATCGCGGAAGATTATTACACGGCTCTAAATAAATATGGATGATACGTTGTCAATGGAAACGAAATTGTTACTATTATATATATATATAAACGACAATTATTATATTATTATACATAGGACTTTTGCATGCAGAGGACTTATTTCGTTTATTGCAAGAAAAACTTATGTACAATATTAAAATACACAAAAAGTGTATGCTACAGAGCACTAATTTTCTCTCTCTCTCTCCCCCCTCTCTCTTCACTTTAATTAAATAATGTATACATATACATATATATTAATGCTCTCTGGACCCTAATAACTTTCCGCCCGGTGCCATCCAATCACGAAGAAGAAAAAGAAGAAGATATTAATGCTCTGCAGATTCAAGAGAAAATGTTCTCGAATCCTCAATATATTTTAAGGCACAATCTATTTCTAAGGCTAACGTTTTCTACAAGATAACAATAGTTACTTGATGAACACAACGAGAGAGATATAAAAATATTACTAAATTACTAATATAAAATTAATATAAATAATACCGTTCGTAAGTAGAATTACCACATGTAAACCTGCATCGAATTTTCGAAAATTTTTCGGAAGCGTATATACTACGAGACAAAATTACCTTCCATGCAGTTTTCCAAGGTTCTTTGAAATAATTTGACTTTTTGATGTCCATTTTTCTATAAACGCAGGTTAATTTTAATCTTGGTTTATCTTACCTGTCGTCTTTTCCTATATAGTTCTATAAAGAGTTAGAAAAAGATGGAAAGTAAGTTAAACCGAGATTAAAGTTAATCGACATTGGTAGAAATGGCCGGGCATGAATCGCATGTAAAACGACTTGTCATGGAATTCTGTTTTCAACCTCCAACTTTTGCGTCAAAAATTCCATAACGGTGCTTTCTAATTACAAACGATAATTTAAGCGTTCTTGTAAACTTCTTGATTATCTGCTTGTTACTTAATACGTAAGAAAGTTGTATTATTTGTATTAAATTTGTGTAAATTAAAAATGCAATGCAGAATAAATTATCGGAAGACAAAAGAAAGGACAAGATTGAATCCTTCCAACGAAAATATGTGGCAACTGTAACATTTAAATAAACAATTTACTTTAATAACCAATTATGTAAATAAGATTACATTTTCCTTCAAGTACCAAGTACTTATTGCGACATTAACGTAACTCTAAATGAGCCGACTCAATCTTTAGCGCTTTACTTTGAGGAAGATATCTGTATTTCTCTATGTCATATAATAATGTACGAAGAAAAGGAGAAAAATCGACATTATATATCATAGTAAACATCGAGTCAAATTGTTCATTAATTTGCGTCTAACAATTGCGTTTTACTTAATAATTTATATAATATTATCTCCATATTTTTTCTCTGCATTGAACAGGAAAAAAGTCTGTATATACTAAAGTATATACATAGGCCTTGCATGGATATGTTAAGTTTTCAAACTAGATTCGCGCACAGTGAATTCTAATCGCGCGCTCAATATTGAGATTTTAGATAATCCAACTATTTTATAAACAATATTTGATTTATCTACAGATTTACTAAAATTATCTTAGATCTTACATCTAGCAAAAATGGATAAAAATGTTAGATGGAGATCTATTTCCTACACGTGTGGAAAAGAGATTTCTGTACACTGTACATCTAATGTTTATAAATTGTATAATATTTGAACAATAATTATTGAACGATATAACTATATACATTTTTTGTCTTAACAATTTTCTCGTGTGTTATTGTGTGTTATTGTAGTTGTTCTTTACTAAAATGGAGGGATTATAGTCATAATATTAGTATGGCTGTAGAGCTATTTGACATACGAGTTTCACATCACGAAACATGTAATTTTCGATTGCAGTTGTTTTCGCAACTTTGTATATTATAAATCACTGTGATATATGAATATATGTATAATAAAAGTTATCTCTTTATATTTAGCCTCAATTAAACAACTGGATATTTTTATATTTAAGTCATCTTTATACTTTATCGGAACATGGAAAGAAACGCTTTTAGGTTCATTCACAAACGTACACAATATTATCTCCCCCCTACACACGCACACAAACACTCACGCTCGCACGCGCACGCACATAAAAAACCCCCCTTCTTCCTTCCTTCTCTCCCTCTCTCTCACACACTCTACTTAAATAATTAGAATTTATTGCAACAGAAACCGAATATTATCAACTTTTCAGAATTGTTCTGAAAAAAATATTGTAAAAAACTAATCTTTTCTTATATAGATTTAAGTATATGTGTTTTATTATAAATTATATTAATTGCTTCACATCACGAGAGAATGATCTAAATCAGAGAATTCATTAAAAAATCTTAAAAATGGTTAACCATAATTTGATAAAATGTTACATACGTGTTCTATATACTTATCCCGCATTAATCTTTTTTAAAAAATTAAAATATAATTTTCATCATCTTTTAATTGTGCAATTAAAGATAGCCCTTTAATAAATGCCGAATATGTCTTAAGAAATGTAAAAAAATTTCAAATTAATTATGACCAATACATCTTATATAAAAAATTTGTAGCTTAGATAGTTTAAAAGTTATTACGAATGTTGATTTCATATTCTATCACAGGAAATTGATCAAATATTCATTCAACGTATAATCAATTATAATAGCATCGTAAAGTATACGAACAATATATGAAAACAAAACATTATTAAAGTAACATTTAGCAACAAACAAACAAACACGCGCGCACACACACACACAGTTCGAGATTGCAAGATCTTTTTGTTATATCTGTCACATATCTCTTTCCATTAAAATTTTAACAGATCTAACATTTTCGTTTTTATGTAAAAGTCTATATTAGAATAACTAATAAAATATAAGAATTGATAACAGAAAGAGGTACATATTTTTGAATAAATGTAAATTCAGACTGTTTTATAATAAAAGAGAGTCTACAATGATAAATGCAGTAAAAAAATTTACTTGCGGCTACTTTAGGCTTGTAAAGAATAAATTTAGCGCCTGTACGATTAGATGTTGTTTACATCTTTCCCACCATATGGCTCGATTGAATTTATAAAAGTGCAAACACTAGAGCAAAAAATACGGTTGGTTGTTTAGAAATCCTGAGATTTTTTTATCAAATTGTAAGGTAATTACTTCTATTTTTGTGACATTAATAGGCATTACTATATTCTTATCTTAAGGATGTGCGTATTTATAATTAATACAGAAAAAATTGGGCTCAAAATTGATAGAATAATATATGAATCAAAGATAGCGGTAATTGTATTCAATTACAGTAAAAAAATTTCTCTATAATCTATAACAATAACTATTACGTAATATTACATAGCTATAATTGAGTGTTTTATATCGACGAGAACTCGACCTTTCAATGAATGAGATTACAAGTTGTGCAATAACACAATCAATGTCATATTTATGCACATACATCTCCAATAATATTGAAATGAGATGAGAAAAATAAATAAATAATAAATAGTAGAGATTTCTGTGATGACAAGATGTTACGTTCTCTGCACAGCATGGTAACAAATCAAAGGATACGTTAAATTACATTCCGTTATAACTCATTCTCTCTTTTTCTCTCTCTCTCTCTCTCTCTCATTTATCTGGTATCCAAGAGATAAATTAAAACGATTCGTCATAAAAGGCAGACATATGCAACAGAAAAAAACTGCCTCCAACAGCAGCAGAGTCATTAATTAGACACAACAGAAAGATTATATACGTATATAATCCTATGTACAATATATATATATGTATATATATATATATATATATAGCAATAAGAAAAGTAGCCAAGAGGAATTGTACTTTTCCTTTAAAAAAAGCGACCAATATAAATTTCTATATTTTCTCTCATTCCTCCGTGACTTTTTTTTTAAATTTCTAGAAACGTGCAACTTACATTTGTACATCATAGGTAAATTAGTGATTACCACGCTCACTCATCGATTTACAAGATATGTCAGGGACATCGTCCTGTAATCGTCTTGTCAATGTACATTCGCCTAGCACTCTAATGTTGTCATAATTACCCAATTTTCGCGACAATGTACCCGATAAATTAATACTATCTGCCGTTAGTAGACTGGTGCTGTCTAGTCTTTTATGATTTTCCATACTTTCGTTAGCGTTTCTTTCCGATTTATCAGATCTTAATGTATTGTTTAAGCTATGATCGAATTTTCTGAGATCATTTTGGATACTTCTG